ATGTTTTGAGCACCCTTTATAACCCTCAAAAACAGCCCCTAGAGGCCTTGATATGTGGGTAATTATGATGTGTTGGAAATTGGCCTATACAAAACACACACCAAACTCTAGTAATGTATGAAGACCAAAACTCACTTAATGTATTCATGGGAAAGGAGGCTATATATAGCCTTACAAAATTATCAACATGGAAACACCATTACCCAAAATAAGGAAAAGCAAACCAACTATGCTTAAGTTTAGGAAAAGCAAAACATAAAAAACATAAAGCCTAAGATTGTGGGTAAGGTCAATTATATGACTCAAGATTACCCCACATTCACCCCCTAATCTTGATGCTCATGACCTTGCTTTTCATCCTATAATCTTGACCTTTCCCGGACACCCGACATTCATCTCGGTCACGTCCAAATTCTTCACCCAATCACGACTTTTCACGGACACCCGACCTTCACCTTGGTCACGTCCAAAGTCTTCTACACCCGATCACAACTTTTCACGGACACCCGACCTTCACCTTGGTCACATCCAAAGTCTTCTACACTCGGCTGTTGTGTGTCACCACACAGAATCCGTTTTCACCTAACACTTCTGTGAAACGAGAGCCTTCTTCCACCGATCAAGAAAACAAAGCAACCCGCTTTTCCCGTCTTCTTTCACCTGCAAAACGAAACAAACCCAAAGCCACCTGCTTTGACGGATCTTTTCTTTTCGTTTTCTCACGCAACTTCGGTAACTCTCTCCATTTTCCGGTGACATACCCACAACCTACCGCCGGAATCACCACCTTGTCGGACACCACCAAAAGCAAAAAAATAGCCGACAAAGAAACTCGCCACCTTCTCTGCCCTTTACCATAACCAACAGCTTCGGACTGTCTGTGTTTGGTCACCCCCGTCATCTCGAACGGTGTTCCCCGTCTCCTCACAACAGATGTCCACCCGGAAAAAAAAAACTTTTCTTTTTCCGTCTTCTGCTGTAATGGCAACCCCACACCCGAAGGCTCCTCCCCTTCGGAAGTCGACTCTCAAACCAGCCCACTTCTTAAACCGCTCTGATACCAATTGTTGGAAATTGGCCTATACAAAACACACACCAAACTCTAGTAATGTATGAAGACCAAAACTCACTTAATGTATTCATGGGAAAGGAGGCTATATATAGCCTTACAAAATTATCAACATGGAAACACCATTACCCAAAATAAGGAAAAGCAAACCAACTATGCTTAAGTTTAGGAAAAGCAAAACATAAAAAACATAAAGCCTAAGATTGTGGGTAAGGTCAATTATATGACTCAAGATTACCCCACATGATGTTGTTTGGACCAGCAAAGATTGTGTCAAAAAGTCTAGCTTGAAAGTCCTCACAACTCTTGGTGGTATTGTTTGTATTTTTGGTCTTCAAAACCATAACTTGGAGGCTGAAATAACAACTTTGAATACTACATATGGCGGGACTAAAGTTCAGTCAAAGTTCATCCCTATAAGTATCTTGAATGTGAACTAAGTCTTTATTGGTGTTTGTAGATTTTTGGTGTTTGGTGTATAAGAGCATTTTACCTTCAATCATCTTTTGGTCAATTCTTTGGTCTTTTCATAAACCACTTAATTTATGTCTTAATACCTTCATTCAAGCTTTTGGTGTGTTAATTCGTGTGTCTTTAATATTTTGTCCAAGTCATAAATTGTATGGTGATTTTTGGCAATTATTGGAAATCTGCACAACAACTTTTCCCTATCTTGCAAGGGCTGTAGATGCTAATCTGAGCAGAATTGGACGATGCCCCTCTCTGGATAAAATGTAGGAAATCGAGTCTAGTTTTCGGAAAGTCCGGATTCAGCTCAATCGGAGTTACAGATTCTGTTTTATGACCAAAACACTGAACAGTGGTTAAGCTGTGACACTTAAAAAAATATATGTAACCCTAAGAAATTAAAACCTTAAAACTTGGACCTTCCCTGCTTGTGTCTGTTTGATGTGTTTGGTTGTGTGATAGGTGTGATGAAACTTGACAACTTCAATAAGGTGTCAAGACTTGACAATAAAAGGAGGGAAAACGCTTCATAACATAAGGTGAGTCGACAATTTTTGTTGACTTTAGTGCATAACCGAAAACCACATCTCATAGGTGGATTTTTGATGCAAATTAGGAATCATGCTAGGTTTATAGATGCTTGTGATAATTGTTGAAAATATGTTGTTTGCATCTTATGTGTGGTTATTTCTTGGTATTAGTTGCTATGGTGATATTTATGTTATGTGAACGTTGTAAATTGCATGCGGATATGATGTTTCATGAATTGGTAGTTATATGGTGACATCTTAATGAACTTCATTACATGATAATTACTCGTTTAAGTTGTATGAGTAACATGATTATTATGGTGTATGCATGCTTTTGCGGGGTATAACGGTGACATGGGTAGAACCTTGCAAGTCTAATAGGTTGAAAGAGTTTAAGCTATACCGGTGATTAGTTACACGAACTTTTCTAGATAGTCGTGTAACACGTGGTTTGTGTGTACCTCGGTGTATGGGAACTTGAGTGGTGTCGGCTTTATGGTGTGGCCGGATCAAACATCACGTGGGAATCGGGAGGTGTATCGGTAGAATTGACACCGTTTTTACCGATCCTGAACGACACCGTGAAGTACTTGTACTTTGCAAGTCGGAGTAGCGAAAGTGGAAGTCTTGGGGTTGGTGTATTATGGTGGAAGTCATGAGCCACTTAGAGCACTAAACTGGCTGAGCACACGAGTAGTGAACGGGGTTAAGTTGTTGGGTAGTCTCTCCCTAAGGAACCCCAAAATAGTTAATCGGTTGAATTAAAAATTACATATAATAAACGGTGAATTAAATTATATGTGATAATCAGTTGAGTTAAGTTGAAAACTATATGATTGAATTAAATTATGATATCATGTTATTTGTTTTTCTTGACTATGCTATTATCATGATTTGCATGAATGACCCTTACGGGAATGGTGTGTTTTCTTTTTGGTTGTGTACAACTTGTCGGCTCACGAGGCGGTTGCTAACACTTGTAGCTTTGTTGAATGCCTCTTGATTGGTACAGGTAGCTTAGGAGCATGGCTTGGTGAGGTTGAGTTCCTTTTGGGTAGTTAGTTTTAATGAAGATGCCACTTGAGCACGTTTGGTTTTTATTTTCCTTTGAACCCCTTTTTGCAATAATTAAACGGTTGAATGTTGGTTTATGAAAATGGTAACGTGTGTGTTTTTTTTTGAATGGTTGAAAAATAATAATAATAATAAATAAAGTCTTCCGTTGCATTTTTCATTTTAAGGATTGTTAATGTTTTTCTTAAAAAAAAGGAGTAAAAATCACGACGTTACAGTAGGGCCTAAGGCCTGAAAAATTAGGGTTTTACATAAAGGTGGCTTCCACGTCGTGGCCAATATCTTTCCACATCGTGGCATCCAAAAAGAATGTGTGTGTTTTCTGGTGCCGCCACGTCGTGGTGATAACATCACCATGTTTTGGTCAACATAAATCTTGTATTTTTAAGCCTTAATCACCCACAACCACAAAAGTAATTATATCTGGTGTTACAATGGAACTTGGTGTTACAATGTATATAATAAAGAGATATGAATTTGACTAGCAACTCAAAAAATTGACTGCACATGCATTAACATGGTGAACCACCAACTCATAAATTTGATTGCACATGCATTCTCAGAAGTGACATGAAAACATGGTTGATGTTAGCATTAATATTATACAACCAAAAGTGACAGAATTTTACAGAAAGTTTGACACCAAAAAAGTGCTTAGTTGCACATGTAGTAACCATCAAAATAGAAATTGTTCAAATAAACCACATGTAGTAACCTTCAAAATATAAATTCCACAAACTGTTTAATTATTCCAGGTTGACTGGCTTTTCAGTGTTGCATCCTTCATCATTTTTAGGCATAACTCTTTTCGTTTATTTCTAGAATTCTTTCAAAGTATTCCTCCTGGAAACAAATGGTGGCACTCTTCCCACTGCAGGTTGCTTCTCAACATTCTTATCATGTTCATTCGATGGCTTATTGGAGCTCCATCCTTCACCATTCACACCTTTATTTGTAACATCCTCACTCACATCCATTGGTGCTTCTTTAGTCACGTTCATTGACACACCACTCCTTCGACCTCATTGTCCTCCTTCACTCATCCATCATGACCACAATATGAAATTAGTGTTCTTCACTCATCCATGATCCCCTCAATATAAAGGTGCAAGCTCCTTTACTACACATGCCAAAAAGCCTTTGTTTTTTTTGTTTTTTTTTTCAAATCATAGTTGGTACCTATTATGCACACCATAATTTCATAACATGCTCTTAAGTTATTCAAGGCTCTCAAAAGTCATACCTATAATTGGCTTTTGCTACTTCCATTGTAAATCAGGATTGAAAGTTGGGTGGCCAAATTATATTTATTCTCTTCCATCTCATCGTTTCTTTCATTTGAACACAACTTGTTGAGGAAGTCATCATCAACAATCTTGTTTAGATTTACATTATTTCATATTCTAAACCAGTTTTTTTGATGGTTCTTTGTACACCTTCACCTTGGATAATAGTACCAGTCTCATTTCTAGCTGAGTCCTCTCAAACATCCTCGGTATGGTCAATGAAAATGGAAATTGGGATTTTTGGTTCTTCATAAGCTGTATAATGAAAATCGGCATATTCCAAATCATTTCCTATGGAACTAATACCAAGGACGATTCCGAAAGGAGTAGTAATGTTCCTCAAATGCTTCTCTAGTTAATCTTTCTATAAAAGCTATACACTCACCATAATCCATCCTAGAAAAATCCATATCTAGTAAATAAGAAATGATCACCTACAACATAAGGGGCATGGATATGTAATAAAACACCGTTAAAGTTCACATCGATTTTCAAATAAATACCTCCATGACGTTCTTCACCTATGCAGTTCAAACTAACTCTCAAAAAAAAAAAAACCCTAAGATCACAAAAATGTTCTTCGTGCCATTAGTGGCTCTTACACTTAGCCGAAACCCTAACTATAATCGAAGTTACGAGTAAGAATTGTGTTGGTCTCCTTAAATATGAGGGAAAACCAATAGCCTTTCTCATTTAAGTTTTATGCACATGTGGAATTAGTTACGTTGAAAGATGCAACTTAGAAAACCTCCACATCAACGTATTTAAACGGTAAAGAATGGAGAATGAACATATTCCCTTAATAAAAGTGTATTATGTTAGTTAAATGAATTAAGAGGGTAAAAAATATTGGGTGACCAATTAAGGACAAAAGTGAAACTTCATAGGGTTTTCATTTCAACAACCCTAAAAAAATTGATTGTTTTTTATAAGACAAAAGACATGTTTTTCCACTTTTTACAGAATATGTAAAAAAAAGTAGCTTCAAAAATTAAAAATCGTTTCTAACATTTAGCTTTTAAAATTTGAACTAATGTAAGTTGCAAACACATTTTGGCATATTCACCCTTTTTTTAGCGGGTGTTTGGATAGGGAAAAAAGAGGGTGTTCATAGCTTATTGCTTATCTCTACCGCTATAAGCTAAGTTTAAGTATTTTAATGGGAAACACTAAAAATCAACTTATTGTGGTGGGATAAGCTAAATAAGCTATTTTTATTAAGCATCCCTTTGTTTATAGTTTATTGTTTAATTGTATATTTCTAATCCAAACACTTTTACAAAAGTGTAAATATTGATTAGTTACGTTGGCTTTTTCATCCTTTTATCAGTCTTTGCTTTGGGTGGTTTTGTTGTAACGTAACAACACATTATATGATCCAAATTGCCATTCAAATAACTGAAGCAACTTTAAACTTTAAATATCCACTAAACGTTTCTCACACCACCTATGTGGGACTCAATAAAGACTATCACCAAAATTTTGCTTTCTAGCTTCTTGGTGAAAGCCCTGCTTTTAATAAGTTGCTGTTCAAAGACAATAATGTGGGTATGTGAAAGGACCTCCAACATCATTTCATTATGTGGATACAAAAGATCTTTACAAGATATTGACATTGCAAATGTGTAAATCTAATTGATTCGAATAATCTAGACCTATAAAATTAATTAAATATATCAAGAAGGTACAGGTATCTGTGGGTACACAATTTGCATCCAAAAATCACAAAACCAAATGTGAATTCTAAGCACCCAAAGATAGGAGTGATATTGTATTTGTACCCCTATGTGGATCTACTTAATTTTGAATATAAAAAAAAAAACTAAGTAACTAACTAAATCCTAATCTGTTTAAAAATAAAGTTGTTTTTAACCTTTTCTTTAATTATCTTCATAATGTTAGCATTTGACATTATTTACATGTTCATGATAGAAAATTAATGACTAAAGATTTTAAGGTTTAGAACTAACGGCCCAGGAGGTGATAACAAAGATATGGATGAAATAAAGTTTCTAAATCTTCTTTTCACTTTGTTCATACCTTACAAGAATATTCCAGGAGCATTCATTTTTTATAGTCTCTTAAAGTAGCCATCACAATTGGCGCATCTTTAAAGTAACTTAATTAGTCATCTGGTAAAAAACATTGATTAATGAAGTATAGCACACTCCACCATCTTACGCATATATTCAAACAATATATCTGGCACAATTCCTTCATCATTGGGTAATTTGAAGTCTCTCACTAAGCTTAGTTTGAGTGGTAATCAACTTAGAGGTTCCATTCCTTCATCATTGGGTGATTTGACATCTTTGAATGTCCTTTATTTGCACCACAATCAACTCTCTGGTCCCATTCCTATTGCACTTGGGAATTTGAAGTCTCTCACTGATCTTCAGGTGAGCAACAATCAGCTTAATGGTTCCATTCCTTCATCATTGGGTGATTTGACATCTTTAAATGTCCTTTATTTGTTCCGAAATTAACTCTCTGGTCCCATTCCTATTGAACTTGGGAATTTGAAGTCTCTCACTGATCTTGCGGTGAGCAACAATCAGCTTAATGGTTCCATTCCTTCATCATTGGGTGATTTGACATCTTTTAATGTCCTTTATTTGCACCACAATCAACTCTCTGGTCCCATTCCTATTGAACTTGGGAATTTGAAGTCTCTCACTGATCTTGACGTGGGCAACAATCAGCTTAATGGTTCCATTCCTTCATCATTGGGTGATTTGACATCTTTGAATGTCCTTTATTTGCACCACAATCAACTCTCTGGTCCCATTCCTATTGAACTTGGGAATTTGAAGTCTCTCACTGATCTTCAGGTGAGCAACAATCAGCTTAATGGTTCCATTCCTTCATCATTGAGTGATTTGACATCTTTAAATGTCCTTTATTTGTTCCGAAATCAACTCTCTGGTCCCATTCCTATTGAACTTGGGAATTTGAAGTCACTCACTGATCTTTGGGTGAGCAACAATCAGCTTAATGGTGTTGAGTGTGAAGCCATTGGGCTGGTCAAAAGGCAGAAAACATGGAAGAAAAGCAAGTCAAAAAGGTGGAAAAGGAGAGGTGATCCATATTTCCCGGATGCATGTTTCATGGCTGCTTTTCTTGTTCAATTGTTTACTTCAGACTCTATATATGAGTCTCATCTGTATTGTAAAAATAAGCAACAAAGAGTGAGTGCAGATTAGCACCAAGAAATATAAACTCCTAGTTACCGGTGGACGTAGGTCAGAGAAGGACCGAACCACGTTAAATCCCTCGTGTTCATCCTTGTGTTCTTATTTTTCGTGAGCTGTGTGTGTGTTTAGAGTCGTGTGTTAAGTGTCTCGATCCTAACAAGTGGTATCAGAGCACAGGCTCACTTATACACCGTACACATCGTCGGAGTCGTTTTCCGGCAGGAGGAGGATCAAATCTTGTCGGTCTCCAGTAGTTGTCGCATCTCACATCTGGGAGAAGATTGCCAGCAAGAAGAGCAGCAGCAGAATTTTTTTTTTGGGTGTGCTTGCGTCGCCAGGAACAAAGAAAGAAGAAAGGTGGAGGAAGTTTTCTTCACGTTCCTGGAACAAAGAAAGAAGAAAAGTGGAGGAATCTTTTTTGGTGGAGCCAAGTGAAGAAATAAATAATAAAAAAAAAAGGTGGTGGAGATTACCTGCAAAGCAAACGCATGTGCAAAGCAAACACACGCTTTGTCTAAGTTTTTTTTTTATTTTCTGAAAATTGCAGTTTAGCCCTTGAACTTTCAGAAAATTGCAGTTTAGCCCCTGAACTTTCAAAAAATTGCAGTTTAGCCCCCGAACTTTCAAAAAATTGCCGTTTAGCCCCTGAACTTCACAAAATTGCAGGTTTAGCCCCTAAACTTTCAGAAAATTGCAGTTTAGCCCTTGAAGTTTCAGAAAATTACAAAATGGCAGAAAACAGTAAGCTTCAGATTGAGAAGTTTGATGGGAAAGATTTTGGTTGGTGGAAGATGCAAATTGAAGATTTGCTCGTGCAGAAAGACTTGGACGCAGTTTTAGGTGAAAAACCGGAGGCGATAACACAGGCAAACTGGGAGATTTTTGATAAGAAGGCCAAGGCATTTGTTAGACTAACGTTGTCAAAGGATGTTGCCTTCAACATTTTGAAGGAGACCTCGACAAAGGGAATCATGGAGGCATTGTCTAATATGTACGAGAAGCCGTCGGCAGCAAATAAAGTCTCCTGATTCGGGAGCTAGTCAACACGAAGGATGAGGGAAGGAAGTTCAGTTACAGTACACATCAACAATTTGAACTCGATTTTATCCAGACTTGGGTCAGTGGGAATAAATTTGAGGCGAAGTTCAAGCTTACTACTGTTATCATCATTACCTGACAGTTGGTCCGGAACAGTTACAGCCGTTACTAGTTCCTCAGGCATCGAAAGAGCTCCACTTTTGAGGGAATCGGGATTTAATTCTAGGCGAAGACGTCAGACGAAGAAATTCCGGGGAATCATCAAGTGAAAAATTGAATGCGGTCAGAGGTAGAAAAAATAACAGAGGTAGTGGGAGCGGAACAGGAGAAGGGCGTCAGTCGAGGACTCGAAATGATGTGACTTGTTGGAACTGTTAAAGAGGTTGGACATTTCAGGAATCAATGTCCACAAGACAAGAAAGAAGTTAACGCTGCAGTAGACCATTCAGATGATGATGTTTTGATCTGTCGTGTAGTGTGGGGGCAATGTGGATTCCTGGGTTATGGATTCGGGTGCTTCATTTCACGCTACCCACAGCCGTGAAGCACTGTGTAGAATATAAAAGAATGAGATTTTGGTAAGGTAAGACTGGCAAACGATGAGGGTTCTTGATGTGCCGAGCATAGGTGACTTAGTTTTGAAGACTCCAGTTGGTCCATGGACTTAGAAGGATGTCCGGGTAATTCCAAGTCTGAAGAAACACATTGATTTTGTTGGGCAGTTGGAATGAACAGGCCACGAGGTTAAGTTCAGGAATGGGCAGTGGAGGTTGTCAAAGGAAATCTTGTGATAGCTCGTGGACATAAGAAGGGTCATATATATGGTCAGAATACCATCTGAGGGAGTAACCGTCCCAGTTCAGAAGAAAAACACAAAATCCGGTTCTAGAGTCTCGTGGACAGAGAAGGTTTGCTTTGCAGATGGGCAAACCCAGAGTCACAGGTCAGATTCAGGTTGAACGTGTTTGGAACGGTTCAGAAAAACCAGTCAAGGGCATTCATAGCAGTGGGAGCAAGGGTGTGCTTCAGCTAGAATACAGAACACAGTGGGTTAAGAGAACCAGTATTCCATCTGTAAAAGTCTCTCCAAATTATCTGCTTCATATGGAGAGTGTCGTTTGTTCTCAACATGTTCCAAGATCGGGCAGTTCATTTCAGTGGGAGCCGGTGGAGACAGAGAACAGGTCAGTGGCAGACTTAGTCATGACTGATGTGTTGGAGCTAACGGAAGCTTCAACTAGAGACACTTGAGCTGTCAAATAATCAATTATCTGGCCATTTGCCCGAAGATTTGTGCCATGGGGGAAAGCTTCAAAAGTTCACAGTAGATGGTAATCAACTCACTGGGCCTATTTCAAGAGGTTTACGGAATTGTTCTAGCTTAATTAGGGCTCGTTTTGATCAAAATCAATTCGTTGGACTTATATCCAATAGCTTTGGCATCTATCCATGCTTAAAATATCTTGATATCAGTCACAATAATTTTCATGGGCAGCTTCCTCAAAACTGGAGTAAATGCAAGAATTTGACAGCCTTAGTGATGGCCTATAACAACATCAGCGGTAGCATACCACCAGAGTTTGGAAATTCAACTCAACTACAAAGGCTTGATCTTTCTTCCAATCATTTGGTAGGTGAAATCCCAAAGGAGTTTGGGAAGTTGAAAAGTATGCTGAATTTGTCCTTGGCTAATAACCACCTTTCAGGTATTATACCTCCAGAGCTCGGATTTTTAGAACTCCTTGAAGTACTCGATCTATCTGCTAATAGATTGAATGGGTCAATACCAACAAGTATTAGTCAATGGGAACATATCCACTACTTGAATCTTAGTAATAACATGCTTGGTGAGAAAATTCCATCTGAGATTGGCAAATTAGTTCAACTTACAGAATTTGATTTATCTCAGAATTTGCTCACTGAAGAGATACCATCTGAAGTTCAAAGTTTGAAAAATATACAAAAGTTGAATCTGTCTCACAATAGACTATTTGGTTCTATTCCTAACATTTTTACAAGTTTGCTAGTGGGATTGACATCGACCAGTCCAAAAATGAGCTCACAGGTCCAGTTCCGCTTTGCTCCAACTTTTTGAATGCATCCTTACAAGGCAATCCAGGTCTGTGTGGTAATTTTACAGGACTAAAGTCTTGTGCAAGTCAAATCCTGAAGAAGAAAAATGATCCCTTTCATCATCAGCTCATCCTAATAATTATGCTCCCTCTTATCGGGGCAACTTTACTTGGTTTTTTCATGTGTGGCCTCATTGCTTATCGAAAACAAAAGAGACATTCTCCACAGAAACCATTGGATAACGAAGGTGGTGATTACTTCTCCATAACAAATTTTGATGGAGGAGTAGTGTATGATGACATCTTGAAAGTAACAGACAATTTTGATGAAGCATATGTTATTGGAACCGGAGGATATGGGACTGTGTACAAAGCCGAGATACAGCCTAACAATGTGGTCGTTGTCAAGAAACTTCACTCGTCATCATCTGAGAATGTTGATCTTAATGGATTCCTTAATGAGGTACGAGCATTAACGAATATAAGGCATCGAAACATAGTGAAACTTTATGGATATTGTTCACATGCCCGCCACTCGTTTTTTATTTATGAATACCTTGAAAAGGGAAGCCTTGGATCAATCTTAAGAAGCGATGTCTTAGTAAAAGAATTGGATTGGTTGAAAAGGGTAAATATTGTAAAGGCTGTAGCTAATGGTTTGGCTTATAAGCATCACGATTGCTCGCCTCCTATAATTCATAGAGACATTTCCATTGCCAACATCCTTCTTGATTCCGATTATGAGGCGCATATTTCTGATTTTGGCACATCCAAGCTTTTAAAGCTAGACTCATCCAATTGGACTGCAATTGCTGGGACCTATGGTTATATCGCACCAGGTAACATAATCATGTGATTGTAGTTCTACATTTTCATAGGATCATGTGGGGTTGATATAACTTTTTTTGTCTTATGTTTCTTTGGATGTAGAGCTTGCTTATACGATGGTGGCAACCGAGAAATGTGATGTGTATAGCTTTGGGATCGTTGCACTAGAAGTGATGATGGGAAAGCATCCTGGTGAACTACCAACAATGTCTACTGATTATCTGGTGTTAGCAAATGTTGGAGATAGTCGGATTCCACTTCCTTCACCACAAGTTGAAAAACAAGTAAACTTAGTACTCAATCTCGCAAGAGCATGTTTGAACTCAAATCCAAAAGAAAGGCCAACAATGCACCAAGTTTCAAATCTGTTCATGAAGGATCTGTTTTGAATTGACATCTCTGGTTGCCTGATACTGTGCACTTCTCATGTTTAATTTTCTTAAGTTTCCTATGATGCATCTAGATTATATGTATTAGTTTAAATGCCTAATGGTTAAAAAACTTTTCATATGTTTTATAGCACCATGTAGCATAACAATAATGTGGAGACTTGTATATTGTGTATGTGATCGTTTTTTGAGCAAAGAATATACGAATAATTGCATGAAAATGGTCTTAGGCGCCTCTGTTATTTCACTTGTGGTTTATACATACATGAAAAATAGGAAAATATATCAAATACAAATGATAATTTTTCTACTCAAATACAAATTTCAATAAAGTTTTAAACAATATATACAGAAACACAATCTCAAGTTACAAATAGCAATAGAGTCCAATTACAAGATGCACGTCATCCATCATACACTTGTCCTGATGCAAAAATATTTGTTCTCCAATGCTTGTCCAAATAGACATAGACTGATACAGAGCTAGTTGTTATAAAGTTAGTTACAAGAGGGGCATAATTGTAAAATGTTAATATAGATGAAGGTTGTTAGTAATGTCTTGAGGGTATAAATAGAATGTACAACTGCGTGAAAATGGTTATCAATTCAATAAAGTTTTTCCCCAAATATTTCTCTCTTCTCTCTCTATATCTTAAATGATTCTCGTGTAGTATCTCGAAGCTCCAATTCTTCATAAAAAACATGGTAGCTTCCTGTATTCTACATCAATGGTATCAGAGAGTGTTTCTTTGATCCTGTAATTCTACCTGACAATCTGGCTCGAGGTAAAAACGCAACGGTAGTCCAGCAACAACAAGAAGCAATGGACGATCGAATGAAAGCTTTGGCACAACAATTAGCAGAACAGAGGATCTTTCTTCAAGAACAAATGACAGCACAGAAGGCTGAAATTGCTGAACATAGGTCTCAAATGGCGGAAATCTTTCAATTCATGAAGAATCAAGAAAGACGACCTAGTGAAATCGGGAACGGATCTGTAATTACGGGAACTTCTAATCAATCAGGTATTCTCAACAACCAGTCTCCGAGGACTTTTAATTTCACGCCTAAATTGGAATTTCCAACATTTAATGGCCGTCAACCTAGAGATTGGTTAGAAAAATGCACAAAATACTTCAATCTTTGTAAGATTCCAGATTCACAAAGAGTTGATTTGGCTAGCCTGTATATGAATGGGAGAGCAGAATCTTTGTATAACAGTTACATTGCTGTTAGAGGTGATGTGAATTGGGATGAATTCAAAAAAGATTTATATGCTAGATTTTATGAAGATATTGAAAGTTCAGTTGTAGAAGAATTTAACAAGTTGCAGCAAGAAGGAACATTGGAAGATTATCTTGATAGTTTTGAAAGACTAAAGGCTTTGATGTTAAATCGAAATCCCTTATTGAATCAACAATACTTCTTGGATAGTTTTATTGGAGGTCTTAAACCTACAGTAAAACCATTTGTGAAGGCTTTAAAACCGCAATCTTTGATTCGTGCTATTGAACTAGCAAGATGCCAAGAACAAACCTTATCAGCTACCAAAAGTACAGCTAGAAACAGTTTCCAAACCATCAAACCATTATCTAGCTATAATCCGATAAATTCCCAATTCACAACAAAAACAAACATACCCACAAATACCTCAGATACGCCTCTTTTACCCAATCCAACCAGAAATGTTAACAACAATTCTTGAACCAGATATATATCTGCTGCTGAAAGGGCTGAGAAACAAGCAAAGGGACTATGCTATTTTTGTGATGCTCCTTATGACAAGAATCATAAATGTCAACTGAAACAAACTCAACTTTTTACCATAGAAGTACAAGGCTTTGAAGACTTGGTAGAAGAAGCAGTGGATGAGTTAGGGCAAAGCACGAATGAGGAAGAAATAGTCTATGATATTGATCCAGGAGAACCATGCATTTCAGTCAATGCTTTATATGGGAAGCAAGGATATCAAACAATGCGAGTAACGGGATATTATGGGAAAAAAGCTTTGAATATTCTCTTGGATTCGGGCAGCACCCATAATTTTCTTGACAAAGAGATAGCTCAAAAATTGGGATGCAAGTTGGAACGAATTGATACTCAATCTGTTGGAGTACCAGGAGACATTCATTTACCATGTCAATCAGTTGCTAAAGATTTTACAATAAGGCTCCAAAACACACATTTCAAGAGTGATATGTTAATTCTTTCTTTGGGAGGATGTGATATGGTTTTGGGCATTCAATGGCTAAGAACTCTAGGCACTGTTAGTTGGGATTTCAATATATTGGTAATGGAATTCATATACCAAGGGCGGAAGCATGTCTTGAGGGGTGTGTCACCAAAAGCATTGAAGGTAGTGAGTGGAACCTCTGCTAAAAACACTTAAGCTGCAATGGTATCCAATTCTATCTGTTGCAATTGGAAAATCCAGCAAAAGATAACATCAATCTAATGTCAGGAACTTGTAATAGTGATGGAATCAGTCAAGATAATGAAAAACTTCAACAATTATTACAAAGATTTAAACAAATCTTTGAAGAACCACAAGGTTTGCCATCGAAAAAAGGAGTTTTTGATCATCGAATTCCTTTAGAAGCGGGAGCAAAAGCTGTCAACATCCGACCTTACAGATATGTTGTGAAACAAAGAGATATTATTGAAAAGTTAATTCAAGAAATGCTAGATAAAGGTATTATTCAGCAAAGTTCAAGCCCATTTGCATCTCCTGTTGTGTTAGTAGGCAAAAAAGATGGTACATGGAGGCTATGTGTTGATTACCGTGATCTTAACAAGAAGACCATTAAAGACAAATTTCCTATTCCCGTGGTGGATGAATTAATTGACGAATTGGCTGGTTCTAAGGTTTTTAGCAAGCTGGATTTAAGAGCGGGTTATCATCAGTTACGGGTAGCTCATGAAGATGTTTACAAGACTGCATTCAAGACCCATGAAGGGCATTACGAGTTTTTAGTAATCCCCTTTGGACTTACAAATGCACCAGCATCATTTCAAAGTTGGATGAATAATATTTTTAAACCTTTACTCAGAAAATGTGTGTTGGTATTTTTTGACGGTATATTGGTGTACAGCCCATCATTAACTCAACATTGGGAGCACTTAAATGCTGTATTTCATCTAATGCAACAACATCAACTATATGCCAAAGTGAGCAAATGTGCTTTTGCTATATCAAAAGTTGAGTATTTGGGGCATTTCATATCAGGTGAAGGTGTAGAGACAGATCCAAAGAAAATAGAAGCAGTAGTAAAGTGGCCAATTCCAAAAACTGTGAAAGAGTTAAGAAGTTTCTTGGGCATGAGAGGTTATTACAGAAAGTTTATTCGGAGTTATGCCTTGATAAGCAAACCATTAACTCAATTGTTGAAGAAAGGAGAATTTAAATGGGGACAGGAACCTCAGTCTGCCCTAGAAGCATTAAAGAAAGCTTTAAGTTCAACACCTGTTCTATCTGTGCCAGACTTCTCACAAGTATTTGTGGTAGAGACTGATGCATCAAACCACGGAATTGGTGCGGTTTTAATGCAACAAGGACATCCTTTAGCTTTTATCAGTAGAGCTTTAGGTCCAAAATGGCAGAAACTATCTGTATATGAAAAAGAGTTATTAGCCATCGTCTTTGAAGTTCAAAAATGGGAACAATATTTGACTGGACAACACTTTATTATCAGAACTGATCAAAAAAGTCTAAAGTGGTTGCTTCAACAAAAGATTTCTACTCCATTCCAGCAATTTTGGCTTTCAAAACTCATGGGGTTTGATTATGAAATACAATACAAATCGGGAAGTGAAAATCTAGTAGCCGATGCTTTATCAAGAGTAGAAGGAAGTGAAATTTTTTGTTTAGCCTCACTACAGTGGAATCTGATTTAATAGAGATGATAAAAGAGAGTTATAAGAATGATGAATTTCTTCATTCATTGTTGCAACAAGGAGTTTCTCAAGACACTCCTAACTACATAATCCAAGATGGGCTTATAAAGAAAAAACAGAAGATAGTTGTTGGCAAGGAGGAAGGAACAAAACAGAAAATTTTGTTATGGCTTCACTCTTCCCCTGAAGGTGGACATTCAGGAAGAGATGCAACTATTAAAAGAGTAAAAACCTTGTTTACTTGGAAAGGTTTACATAAAGATGTGAGCAGATTTGTACGTAATTGTACAACATGTCAGGCCAATAAATATGATTCTTCTGCATATCCAGGTTTATTACAACCACTACCTGTACCTACAGCTGTATGGGTTGATATCTCTATGGATTTCATAACTGGGCTTCCTAAATCTCAAGGGAAAGAAGTCATATATGTTGTTGTTGATAGATTGAGCAAATATGCTCACTTCATGGCTTTATCTCATCCATTTTCAGATGTGGAGGTTGCCCAAACATTTATGGATAATGTGTTCAAATTACATGGATGGCCAGAAACGATTGTAAGTGATAGAGATCCTATTTTCCTTAGTCAATTCTGGACAACTCTCTTTCAACTACATGGTACTCAATTGAAATTGTCATCAGCTTATCATCCTCAAACGGATGGACAAACTGAGGTAGTGAATAGATGCCTTGAAAGCTACTTAAGATGTATGTGTGGGTTAAATCCGAAAGATTGGTCATTTTGGTTGCCATTGGCTGAATGGTGGTACAATACTACTTATCATACAGCTATCAAACTTACTCCATATGAAGTTGTTTATAATCAACCACCACCATTGCATCTACCATATATTCCTGGGGAAACCAACAATGAAGCTGTTGATAGATCACTTCAAAGAAGAGAAAACATGATTAGCAATTTAAAAAAGCAGTTACAATTTGCTCAAAACAGAATGAAGGTTTTAGCTGACAAGAAAAGATCTGAGAGATAGTTTCAAGAGGGCGACTGGGTATGGCTTAAATTGCAAAATTACAGGCAAAATTCGGTGCAATCTCGGAACAATCTTAAGATAAGTCCCAAGTATTTTGGACCCTTCCAAGTTTTGTCAAAAATCGGGAAAGTCGCATATAGATTACAACTACCTGAATCTGCAAAAACACATAATTGTTAAGATTTATGGAGTCTTGAACAAATTGACAAGTTCCTAAGAGTTCAAGGGCCATAAATGTAACATTACATTTAACAATTGAATTATTC